AAGATACCTCGTCATTCTCAGCAGTCATGGCTGCACATCTGGCCTCTGACGCCAGGTCACCGAACTCTGTGGTCAGCTGATTGGCCAAACCGCCCAGCTCATCAGGGTTAGTGTTGGATTTGGTAACCTGGCAACACAGCATTTCAAAAACACACCGTCAGTCTTTTCTTGTCTATAAATGCTGCATAATTCTCCCTTCTGGGAGAGTTTTGAACCATAACATCAAAAAAATGAAAAACACATTTAAAATGCATACTGGGCTTAAAGCAAGCATTTGAGTGTGAAAATGACTGTGGAAAATAATCTAACTCATTTATTTATATAATACCATCAGAATAAATATGCAATAGTGTTCTCTGGTACTGATGATATACTCTGCGATTGGCTGCTTGTTGTCCTCCTCCACTGACGTCAACAGACAAAGCATGCACAGGTTTACTGCTGTGCACGCAAAATGAAGGCATGACTATTAATTGTCTGCTAATCTTTTACACATGAGCCAAGCTGATTAGCACCTGCCTCTGCCCTTCAGCCAATAGATGAGCCAATCAAAATCAATAATTCACGAGAACATTACCAGCTTTAATTAACCGGCTTTTCATGAATGTCATTAAAGTTTGATTGATATATTTTCATGCATATTCATATTTGAACACTCAAAAAATACTTGTTTGTTAAACACTGTATAATGTTTGATTGTTACAATATATTTAGTTTATCAGATGTTCTTAAGGTGATTAGTCAGGGATGCTTGTCAGGTTAACTAGAATACATTATTCTCACACTTTTTAGTAATGTCCTTTGTTACAAGTCAAGTGTATTTCTGAATTCTGTACTAAACCTTAATTCTGTTTTCAGTGCATGTTTGTGCATATGTATATTGCATTTTGCCCACCAGCCACAGTGGCTTTTTCCTAATTCTGCAGTCACTCATATTTCTGCAGCACTAGTTTTTACCATCTCCTGAACGGTGACAGCGATAGCTTTGGCCGTCTTCACCATCGTGGTCTGATAATCCACAAACGTTCCTTCAGGTTCGACTCCAGGCCCGTCTTCCATCTTATTGATGGCTTGAGAGATGGAGTTGACCATGCCACCCACTGCTCCTGCAGCGCTAGCTGCCTCTGACAGAGTCGCAGCCAAATCATCCACCGCCTCCTTCATCATCTGAACCGACTCCACCAGAGCCTCCTGCGTGTGAGCCGCCTGAGGACACACACACACGCACGCACGCACACGCACAGACACACACAGACACAGACACAGACAGACACAGACAGACAC